GAGCGAATGTTTAAAAATGCTAACTTGATGGCATTGCTTTGTGTCTTTACAGCAATCTTAGTTTGACGCATAATAGGCCGCAGATTAGATGAGTCAGCCGTACGGCTTGAGAAGGCCTTAGACTTTCTATCACGTAATAAAACAGAAATATAGAAAACTACAGACACACTGGGTTCCCGCTTGTTCTGTAAACATTTGTGAATGTTGCTGCTATCATAGCGGGAACCCGACACATATCACATATCACAGAGCTGTTATCAGTTGTTTTTGGTTCACCTACAGCAGATGGAGGAGGGTTTGGGCCCTGGCGTTGTGGCAGCGACTGGAGAGCTCTCACAGCAGGAGAAGGATGAGCTGGGCCCACAGGTTTGTGGGGCCCGCCGTTTTTTAGTTGATATCTGGGGGCTTGCAGCGAAATAGTGGGGGAGTTTGGTCCCAGCATACACCAGTTCCTCCATTTTCTGTGAGAAGCTTAGAAGTGGAGATGCTGGAGAGAGGGATAGTGCGTCTGGTGAGCGGGGCTCTGGCTCTAGTGTTTCCAGTGGCTGTGATATGTTGTCCTGGCTGTTTTCCAGAAAGTCATCCTTGGGTGCTGAGTCTTGGAGCTGTTCTGATACGTCACAGTCTGTCTGTGACGAGCTCTGTGGGCAGGGCTCAGCCGGGATAGTTTCCATGAGCAGTGCTTCGGATGGAGAAGTAGATGTTGTCCTTTAGCACTCTTGCACCAAGTTTGTTTAGGTGGAGGCCATCCAGTTTAAACAGTTGTCTGTGGCCCCAGAAAAGATTGAAGTTATCGATGAAATTGACTCCTTTTAAACTGCAGATTCTTTGTAGCCATGTGTTCAGCCCAAGCAAACGTGAAAACCTGTTGGTTCCCCTTGCTGGGAGTGGTCCACTGATGAACGACTGAACTTTAAGTCTTCGAAGTGTTTCAAAGAGTTCACTGAAATCCTTCTTAAGGAGTTCTGACTGGTCTTTTCGAATATCATTCTTCCCCACGTGGATGATGATTCGATTTGCAGTCTTGTGCTTGATTAGAATGTTCCGAAGTTCCTTGTTCACATCAGAGACGGTTGCTTGAGGAAAGCAGCATGTAGTTGTAGTCCTGCTACTAATGTTTCAGATTCCACAAGAGGCATTTTCTTTCTTGTCTGTTTGAATGTAGGCAGCTGTGTATTCCCGAGTCTTCTTTTTCGTGGTATTACTCCAGTCCCGAAAAGTTTTTAGTTTAGTGTTTGTGCCAAAAATGTGTTGTTTGAGCACTGTGCTGATCTGCTGAAGTTAAAATCTTAGAAAAATCTTAGAAAAGTACATAAATAGGGAGCAAAGCGTGGAGCAGTAAGCAACTGCGTCCGAACAGTAGCAAAGCTTCCGGCTTCAAAAAGTAAGGCTAAAAGTCGAACAGGTTTAGTTTAATTGTGAGATTTATTAAATGAGTGGAATAATAACGACTTAAAAGCACTCTATAACTATGAAGTTAAGCAGTTACAATTTAACCAGTAGAGGACAGTAATGTTGCATCCCTGTGCTGTTTTCAAAAACATAAAAAAAGGAAAAGGTACTGGACAAAGATGCATGAAGATCACTCTTTTTAGTCTAAATATTTCTGACCTACTATGCCATGGAGAGATAAATTGATATCGGTCTCTGCTCATGTCTGAGACAGAAGGGTTATGAAGGCTTGTGTGTGTGTGTCACTCTGTTCTCTGTCCAGCTAAAATAGGCTATATTTATTATTTGCCTATAATTGTTGTTCAGGTGAAATTGTGAATGCAACCACAGTCTTATAACTGAGCTTTATAGCAACGACTATAGCAATAGTGCTGCTCTAATTTTGTTAAACTGAAATTGTATTGACATTTTAATTTGTTTTAAACATTTTTGGGTTCTTAAAGAGTCTGAAGAATGCTGCCAAACCTAAAACAATCAAAGCAATACAACAATAATCTAAAATGTCACATTATCCCAGCATCTAATAACAATTTAAAACAAACCTAAATATTCCATCCATCCATTCTCCAAACTGCTTGCATGAGTTTACAGGGATGTTGGATATACAAAACTTAATTTTGTGGGATACATCGCACTGTTATATCTCAAACACAATGCTTTTTGCAGTTAGATTGTTGTTCACTGGTGAAAACAGCCCATTCCCAAGTCTCTGTGATATTGGTTTCTAGATATCACTGTCTATTGGATTTTTTCAGCTCTTTATTAATGACCTTTTATTTATTGTCTATTATTGTCTACTCCACAAGCTGCATGTGCACTATATCATTAAAAGAAAAAAAAAATGTCATAATCAATAGTAGTAATGATGCTTGTCTGAGCAAACAATACTACTAATAATGTAAATCATAGCATATGCATGCTAATGTTATTTCCAAGGATTCCTCTCAGTGTATATTTCAGTGGACTGTTTTTGTATTGTGAATAGATCATTGCTAATTTACAAAAAGGGCAGTTTCTGCCTACTTCAGTTATTTGCCATTTGGTTCAACAGTTTTAATATGAACAGTAGATTCTATGCTGTTCTGGAACAGACAGACTGTAAGACTGTGGTACATTACAGCCTGGATGAATATCTCTTGAGTTTGACTCTGGGTTTCCCTGAGAAACTGTGAGCCGCAGCAGGGACCTTTGAGCAAATATGAGACCTTACAACCATATAAAGGCAAAACATGCATCACTCACCCTGAAACATTACGCACAGATGGACTCGGTAAGTCAGACATCAGAGAGCGAGAGCGAGAGCGAGAGCGAGAGAGAGAGAGAGAGAGAAACAACCCCTGGAAAAACAGGGGGTTTACAAAAAGAAAGGAAAGTCGGAAAAAGAGGAAGAATAAGAAGCTTTTCCTCATAATTTTGAGAGGACTGCTCTATGAATCCTCAGACACGTTTAGCAGCAAAGCCATTTTCAAGCAAAAACATTTAACAATGAGAATCCTACTGCAAAGAGACACAGCATGAGTAGCATGGTTATATGCTGTTCTGTACATTTCATATTTTGACAGATGCAATCACTTAGTTATCCTACCAGTGCCACCAGAGGGCACTATCACTGGAGATCGAAATTTAGACCGAACTGTGTGTTGGTTAAATGCCTGAAATAAGGTCTGTGGTTAACACAAACTGAAGATATTTTTATTCTACAATACTCTCCGTGTGTATTTTTACTCTCGCTCTCATATATATATATATATTTTTTTTTTTATTTATTTATTTTTTTATTTTATTTTTTTTAAGGCGGTTGCTAACAAGTGTCTAAATGGGAATACAGAGGTTTTCTGGGACATTAAACAATCACACTGAACAATAAAACCCGTGCACTCACTAGTCCTCCTCTTGTGTTTATAGTCATGCTCATTTAAACTCTCAGAGTTTTACTTCTGCTGATTGAACTTAGGCTTTAAACTGTTGTTGGTTACATAGCAATAATAATTTTTCTGTAATAATCCAAAACAATGGAAAAATCATACTGGGTTTTTGACAAGGGGCCAACAAAAAATATATATAATCACTGTAATCACAGCTGTGCTCTATATTCTCTTTATGATCACTTCTAAATAACTTTGTTAGCTGCAATTTTATCTACATAATTTGCACTGTCCATCTCAACTTTTGCATCATTTATTAAGTGTCATCCACATCTCTGTCTCAGTGGGATATGTTACGTTACAAATTTCTCAGCACTTGACTTGTTGGTCAATTACTGATACAGTCTCTTTTTGTTCTGTATTTTCAGATCAGCCCGTTCCATATTCCCACACTGTGTTTGAGAAGAGTACGGCTCAGCTGATGGTTAAGGCAGCTGTTCTGGAGGATGCAGGCGTGTATTCGTGTGTCGCAGTGAATGGTCAGGGCAGAGCTGTGTGTACAGCTCATGTGCTGGTTAAAGGTAAGACACACGTCCCCTTCCTCTGGATTATTATTTGCCGGTATATTCAGAATGAAAAAGTGTTGGATGCTGGAGGCATGTGTGGCATGGATGTCTGAATTCCTTTGCATTAGACAAATTTAAAACCAGGGTGATTTATTTGAAGTAAAAATAGCTCAAACATACTGTTCAAAAAACATTGTTTTAAATGAAAATAAATGCAAAGAGTATTGTGACATTTTGTGGTTGTAAAATGTTAGTGAATCATGTTTTTATTTATATAACATTTGAGCCCAGGCTAAGCAGAATGGTCCAAAAAAAATGTTATTCATTTTATAATCTTTTTTTTTTTGTTATGACAGCTAGTTTCTACGGTGGCCGAGAAGTGCAAAGCAAATCACAATTCTGAAAACAAAATAACAAATTACAAACGCAAACGCAAGTCTAAAAAACAAAATAATTCAGAAAGCACAACAACAATTCAGAAAACATTATAACAAGTCAGAAAACACAACGACAAATTCGAAAACAAATTTACAAGTCAGAAAACACAACGACAAATCAGACAACCCGGAAGAGGTAGGTATAGCTTGAGACAGCGCCATTGGTTTGGGATTACTCACCGCTGACTGGACGAGACATCTGTCAATCAACGTATACAGGGAAGAACCAGCCGAAGAACAGCAGAGTCGTGGTAGAAAGTTCGGAGATGGTATTAAAGTAGCTCAGTTTAAATGTATTGTATGAATTGCCCTTACTCTGGAATAAAAAATACGGGGTGTCTATTTACATTTAGTTAAAAGTGACTGTAAATCATCAGCTCCAGTGGTGCAGATGGATAAGTGTTAATTTTTATTGAAAATAAACGCCTTTACGATGTGATACGAGATCTGAAAAGGGAGAAAAAAAAAAAGTTCGGCAAAAGGCGGGATCGAACCCGGGTCGATCGCATCAAAAAGCCAACGACACGTGCTTATCCAACTGCGCTACTGGAGCGGATGTTTTACAGTCACTTTTAACTAAATGTAAATATACACTCCGTATTTTTTATTCCATAGTAAGGGCATTTGTTATTTTGTTTTCAGAATTGTGATTTGCTTTGCACTTCTCGGCCACCGTAAGTTTCAGCCCTAAAATGAAAACAGCTGGCAAGCCAAACTTATTATAAACAAAGTTTAAATCAACAAAATAAACGCAATCCTGATTTTTTTTTAAGCAAGAAAGTAATCTGGAATTCTGAAACCTCTTCAGAATCCTGATTTATGTTCTTTATCTAACGGCAGGATAAAGAAGATGGTGTTGTTTGAATTTTAAAAGTTATATGATTCTGTCAAATGTTCTGAATGCATTTCTTCCCCCCAAACTCAGAAGGCATTTGAGTCATAAAAAGCAAGACTTGTGGTTCTCTCATGCACTGCAGGAGGAGTTTTCTATGTGTTCAGCTGATCAGTGCATATCGTGGATGTGTTTTCTGAGAGTTATTTTAAGGTCCTCAGGGTTAGAGAAACATCTGCTCTCTTGCAGTCTGTGAAGCTGTCTAATGGTGGAGGTTCCATGTTCAAGTGGGTTAAAAATGTAAAATACCAGTCTTTTCCCACACACATACATTCTGCAGCGGCCGTATCTGATCTGAGTCTCAGAGGACAGCTTGAAGAGAAATTACCCTCTCTCCCTAAAAATCTGTTTTATGACTTTTTCACTAATGTGCTTTAATATGCATGAATGTAAATGTGCTATACTGCATTTAGAAGCAATGACTAAATAAGGAGTATTTCAAAACACTATATAAGGACATGATTGATTTATTCCCTAAATACTGACGCTGCAAACACTGCATTTTTCACTAAACTTAGTGATCACCCTTGAATTGTCACGGTGGTGTTTTCATTGCGAGTAATAGCTTTCAAGTAAAACATAAAAGTATACAGAATGTCCAGTTTGCTGTCTGTGCTAGATATATGCATCTGTGTAAACATTTAAATGTAAAAATAGATTTTTGATCTTTATCTAGTTTAGTCTTAAAAATCTAAATGGTGCAGTAATAGGTCCTTCACATGCAGTCTGTTAGAAATGGCATAATTTATTCTGATTCTGCAGCCAATGAGCTGTTTGCACAACATTGAAATAGTGTTCACTGAAAGCTGGTCCTGCAGCGCTGTTCATCTTTAGTCATTCAAACACATCTACAGTAAATATGAATACTGAAATTGTTTAGTGAAAAATATGCTGTGTCCACTTTTGTAAACTAAAGGCAAACATCACTTTATTATTGCAATCTATACTTAAGCAGCTTCACAAGTGCGGCTGAACTGAACGTCAGCATGGCTGTAATTTGGTCATAGGCAGCCAGTTCATATTTCAACTGTAAACATCAATAATTCTAATGTTTTAATGAGCAGCGCAGACTGTGAGTATCAATGGAGACTGAGGTTGAGTTTTACTCACCACAGTGCACTGAAACAATTAAACAAACAATTAATCTAAATCAAATAGTTTTATTCAAGTAAAAAATATTATTTAGCATCACTGTATCAACCTAAATGCATTAATTTATACCAATAAACTATATTTTTATAGGTTAAGTCAGGTAGAAATAGCTCTTTATAATAGTTCCGGTCCTTGATTCTGATTGGTTGAGCCGCGTTCGAAGAACAGCTAAGGGGCGTTAGGCACGACGTGAAGCGGAGAAGCCCTTCTCGGGGCTTATTGCTTTATTATGTAACAATTGTGGGATTTCATATGGTTAAAATCTGAAATCCAACCTGTTGAGATTCATATGACTGAAAAAAAAATGATATAATAAGGTTGATGATTATAGAGTATGAGGTATATTGGCATATATACTGTATGTGATGAATAAGTAGTTCTGTCAGGACCACTATCGTCAAAGATGATTGACAATTAGCATACAGTTTGGGTTGGCGGTATGGTTCTGTTCTGGGCAAGAACTCCCTGCGCATCCATGCAGCCTAGCATGGATGAGAGCAGGGAGAGC